GCATATCCGTTTTAACAAAATTTAAAATTAAAGTGATGAGAAAGGCAATAAAGTAATGCTAGCAAGGAAGCAGCAATAAAGATAAAACCCAACTCATGGTGTGAGGTTTTTTATTTATAATTTATGACTAGTCTAGTTTTTTTAAAGGCTCTGAGCATTTTGGCCACTGATTAAAAGAAGGAAATAATAGTTAGACGACTTGAAATGCCTGAAAGAAAACGCTCACCCACGGTCAAGGGTTAATTAGAACAGCCCCTTGTACACGTGGCAGACACAGAAAGCCTGTCATATGGCACATGCAAGCGTGCTAAGTCACTTCAGTTGTGTCCAACTCTCTTCGACCCCATGGACTGTAGCTTGCCAGGCTCCTCTGTCCATGGGATTTCCCAGGCAAGAGTACTGAAACAGGTTGCCATTCCCTTCTCCAGGGCATCTTCTTGACCCAGAGATAGAACCCATGTCTCTTGCATTAGCAAGTGGATTATTTACCACTGAGCCGCCTGGGAAGATCAGGACACTGGAGGGTCACCTTTAAAAGTTTTCCGTTCTCTCTTAAAAAGTTTTCCACGTTCTCAAGGCAGTTACGGCAATTAGATAAAATGGCAATTTTATCCCAATAGAATTATATGTGGATGCCTGCCAGCACCAGAATGATGGACATGTCTCCCCCTTTGAGGAGAGTGAAGTCCACAGCCCTTAATGGGAGCCCCGGCACCTGAGAGCAAGTCCAAAAAAGCTAACCCACAGCCCCCCTTCTGACAAGCCCCAGAAACCCATTTCTTTAGAGGTGACAAACAACCAGGAATCTTTAAAATCAAGAACACACACCCACCTTGTAATTGAAAAAAAATCAATAAAGCTGTCATAGAGTATTTGACACTGAGCAGTAAAACTGCCTGATGCTCTCACCAAGATAGAACAGTTTAAAAGTGTGTTTCCAGGGAACTCAGGGAGTTGAACTCAAAAGCAATAAAATGCTGGCAGAAGTCTAACCAAAATGCTGTCTAACATAATTGATATAATTGGGTAATATTGTCAACTGACCCTTAAAACCTAATTAATGACATAGAAACACTTTTTAATCTTCATCTGAAAGAATGCCTTTGCTGTTGTCCTCTGTGAATAAGAAAGTCACTCAAAAGAGAGGCCTTTCCTAAGTGAGCTAAAAAACATGAAAACCTCAAAGAAGGTAAGATTTGACCATGTTACGATTTAAAGTCTTCGTATGGGCTTCCCTGATGACTAGGTGGTAAAGAATCTGTCTGTATTGCAGGAGACGTGGAGATGGGAGTTTGATCCCTGGGTAAGGAAGATTCCCCTGGAGGAGAAAATGGCAACCTCACTCCAATAATTTCGCCCAGAAAATCACTTCAAAATTAAAAGACAAATAAAACAGTGGGAACTTAACATTTTTAAAAGGTTAATCTTAATTTAAAGTTTCCAAAAATAAATTTTAAAAGGCAAACATATAAAAATGAACAAAGGCCAAAAACATATAATTTTTGTTATATCATGTGGACACCGACCCCCTCCACTTTTCTGCATTTTCCACCCTCTTCTTGCTCCTGTGGAAACTTACTTCCCCCTGTTCTTCTCCTCTTCCTCTTCACTCTTCAAAATCTACTTTGGGAAAGGAGCTGATAAGCTAAGCATAACGGTGCATGGATGAAAGGCTCAGGTGTGTACTCAACAGGGGACAAGGGTCCTCGTGATAAAAGACCACCTCCCCACCTGCGGCATCCACAACTTTATAGAGAAGAAAGAGGACTTAATTTTTAGGAAGAGCAAGCTTCCCTGGAGACCCTCTATCCACCTGGTGACCAGTTGCTCTGTCTACATCTAAGACAGATGCTCTTTCTGAGTGTCATTAACAACCATAAATCTCTTTTCCGAAGATAAGTCCAGGAACTGGCTATGTCTCCGTCCTTCCCCAACATCTGAGCATTGGCTCGGTCTGAAAGGAATCTGTGCCCTGTGGCTCCAACACTAAAATGTCTAAAAGCAAATCTATCAGCCCCTGGAAATAAACACACATATACAGACACAAAAATTGTAGAACCAAAACAAACTAAAATATTTTTCCTTGGTGGCACCCACTGTGCTGATCAAATCTCATCTAAAGTATTTTATCCAGAACCCCAGGCACAGAGACAGAATTTGAACACGATTATGATCCAGAATCAAAGAGTAAACCCAAGGCTGTGTCTTTGGCAGAAGGGGGACCAGGGGACAGGATATGGCTGCAGGAACATTTCCCCTTCAAGCCACTGGCTTCATGAAGCTTTTGGGAAGAAAAATCTAAGAGGTCATTTTCATCATAGGGTCCACATGAAAGAATTTTTAACTTAAATAGCCACCAAAGGTACTAAAACTACAGGAGGCTTTGATTTGCTAGTTGATATGAGAGTGATGGGCTATCCAAGTGGAGCAGATGGTAAGGGATTCACCTGCCATTTCAGGAGACATGGGTTCGATCCCTGGGTCAGGAAGATCCCCTGGAGAAGGGAATGGCTACCCACTTTGGTTTTCTTGCCTGGAGACTCTCATGGACAGAGGAGCCTGGCAGGCTACAGTCCATGGGGTTGCAGAGTTGAACACAACTGAGCACACAGCACACACATATGAGTTTGGTAAGTTCAGGCTCATAGATAATCCACCATCTAGGAAAGTCAGCTAATGCTCTAATGCCTGATATCACTGCATTGCTGGGTTATGACTCTTTGCTATTACCAAAGAAATAATAATTTTAAAAAGATATTAGTCCTCAAGGGTTTCTTTTACTAAGTTTTAGGACAGTAAATAAAGAGCATTATAGAATGAAAATTCCCATAAGGAATAAATACTTTGGCTTACAGCTGCAGAATCTGTGTAACTTCCTAAACTCTAAATTTGAGAAGCTTGAGAGGGAGCAGGCCAGGCAACAGCATCGATAGAGGAAAATAAAAATCCTGTGTTGAACATCTTCACTTCCAGCTATCATTTCTTCCTGTGGTTCTTCAGTCACTCAGTCATGTCCAACTCTTTGTGACCCCAAGGAACTACAGCACATCAGACTTCCCTGTCCTTCACTGTCTCCCAAAGTTTGCTCAAACCCATGTCCATTGAGTCAGTGATGCCATCCAGCCATCTCATCCTCTGTTGTCCCCTACTCCTCCTGCCTTCAATTTTTCCCAGTCTTTTCTAATGAGTCAGTTCTTCTCATCAGGTGGCCAAAATATTGAAGCTTCAGCTTCAACATCAGTCCTTCTAATGGATATTCAGGACTGATTTCCTTTAGGATTGACTGATTTGATTTCCTTGCTGTCTAAGGGACTCTCAAGAGTCTTCTCCTGCATCACAGTTCAAAAGCATCATTTCTTCGGCACTCAGCCTTCTTTACGGTCCAACTTTCACATCCATACATGACTACTGGAAAGACCATAGCTTTGACTAGATGGTCCTTTGCCAGCAAAGTCATATCTCTGCTTTTTAATAAACTGTCTAGGTTTGTCATGGCTTTTCTTTCAAGGAGGAAGCATCCAGAAAACTCAAAAAGAGAGATCAAGCACATAGGGTGTCACACAGATTTATACTGCTGCAGAAATTTGGTCAAGAGACATAAATGTAGGAGTGTAGCCTTTTATTTAGAGGCACTTTGATAATGATTGGCTTTTCAGCATTCTTCTGCAATGGGCACACATACCTAGGCCAGCACCGTCCACAGAACCGGCCTCAGTGATGGGATTGTCCACATCAGTGCTTCCCCTTATGGCTCCAGGACCTGCATGCAGCCGTCAGAGCAGTGGGAGTGTGACCCAGGTGAATGAGGTGCTGAATCCTTATATTGCTTCGTTTTTATTCACTTAAATTTAAACAGTCACCTGTGGCCGTTTATTGCACAGTGGCAGAATGGATGCATCTGGGACTTTACCCTACACCTACGTGGGCATTAGACACCCCACTTTACACACAGGAGCACACACATCCAGACACTCCAGTGAGACAGAAAATGGGTCTGACTACTGATACCCATAGACACCACTCCCCCTGAAGTTATAGTCACTCAACAACTAACTACTGAACCCCGACTACATGCCCAGCACCGGGATGGACTAGATGAACACAGGCCCTGACCCTGAGGTTGCGCTCACCTGACACCTGAGAAGGTGCTTATCTGGGAGTAGATGTGACAGAGCATAGGAAAGAGTTCCACCCAATGTGGTTAGGGCTCTGGTGGGAGGACAGAGGCTGTGGAAGTGGGGCAAGAGGCCCCACCTCAACCAGGGAGAGCCGGAATCTTTGGATGTGATGCAGGGTGACCACACGCTGGCTGCCAGGATGGTCCTGGGTGATACCTGCTATCAGAACACAGTTAACACCCTGAGCATTTCCACTCATAGTCTGTACAGTACATTTTGGACTATAAATTACATGATCAGCCCAGAGAGGCCAAAGGGATGTCTTTCTTCCCCTAAGAATGAGAAAGCTTCCTTAGGACCTCGAGAAGCTCTTATACTTCCTTACATTATGAGCAACTGCTCATGCAGCTTTGGGGATGTAAGAAGTCATAACCACCACGCAGGCAACTATACAATAATCTACACAGTGCCCCTGTGGGCACATCACATCACTTCCACACCTACATGGAGCATCACTGCCTTTTAAAGGTGAGTGTTGGGGGCAGAGAGGTGAAGCACTTGCTCAGATTCAGCCAGGTGGTACCTGGCCCAGAGGGACCCTGCCCTAGTATCTCATGATGCCTCTCACGTCAGCCCCTAGTGTCTGCCTCTTTGTCAGACGTTCACCTGCCTGTTGTCACCATGAATCTTGTGACAGAAGAGGGTCACACTTTCTTAAACTTCTTTGAGAAAACAGCTAAGATGAAAGCATAACACTATGTCTCTTATTTTTTAAGTCTCTGGCAAAGGGGAGAATAAAGGCCTCTTATTCAGTCCAGCATCTTTTTTTTTCAGTTGTTTAAAGAGGATGATTTAGGGACTGTTCGGTTTTGCCTGCTGTAGTCATGACCGGAGAGGGAAGAAGATTTCAACAACTACTTGAAACGGCGGCAAACTTCCTCCTGTGTGCAGCTCCGGGCCAGTCCCGAGGAGCTGGTCTGCTAGTCTCTCCAAGCAGGAGGTCATCGGAGCCACGGCGGCCGCCAGGGTCCACTTAAAACTATGCGGCCTCAGAGCCCTCGAATGGCTCCGGTTTTCCTGTTCTTTCCCAGTGGAGAAATCCTGAAGGGAGGGGGAAATATCATACTTTCAAGATGAGTCTTTCAAACCCTTTGCCCTGAAAGCCGCAGATGCAGGCACATAATTTTTACAAATATTTGGCCCCATGTTGCCACTCTGTCAAATAGCAGACGGTACCAATATTTTATATCGATTCTATTATTTTTTCCAGGGGAGTGTATCACAGTCAGCCAGGTACACATTCCTAATGGCATAAATTAATCTTGTCGACTATGATATTAACTTCTGAAGAACTGCTGACTGTTCTTCGGAAAGCCAGGAATGTTTCTCAGAGGAAGGTTTCTAAACTCAAGCCAGACTTTTCACGGTTCAAATGTCAGGCAGTTATAGTCAAGGGGCAAGAATCAAACAGCCAGGGATGCCTCCAGGCTGCCCAATAGCATTTGTAACTTTGACACAACTGGGGAGACAGGGGGCCCTTGGCGAGGGAGGCGAGAGGTCTGTGAGCTCCAAAACCCCAACTTCTGCTTTGTCAGTTTCAAAGTGATCAGCTGGCTTGTCCAAGAATTGCAGTTTCTCTCAGAACCACAAGGATTTCAAAGATCCTGTTGATTCGGTGAGTCAGGGCAAAGTGAAGCCCTGCAGCCTTGCTAAAGATGAAGCAGGACTTTGTGGAAGATATGTGATCGGGGAGGGTAGAGAATGAAGTCCACGTCTAACACTAGAAGTAGAACCATGGATGGCGGTGGGAGGGCCCGAGAGAGCCGAGCCTCCAATGCTTGTAAAGGTCCCTTTCACTGCCCCGGAGGGACTCTAGAGCTCCCTCCTCATGGGGCTGTGGACAGAGGAAGGTGGTCAGCTATGACCAGGTGCTCTGTCTGGTGCATTTAGCCCAGTTCCTCCTTCACCTGCCTATCACCTGTCAGAGGGAGACGTTATTCTTCCATGCACAGTGAGACCAATGTCTGAATTTAAAATGTTTCGTGCATTTCTGATTCAGCTACTGCAGTTCATGAAGCTGGAGCCCTGGGGGGTGTAAATGGCCTGTGACAGTGACAAAATGACAAATAGCACAAAGAAAGATCTACTCTCAGCCAAATGAGGAGGGGTCTGAGCAGCGGAGGATGCTTTGCAGGTTGTACCTAAATTTAACACACTTCAACTTGATAGGTTTTTCAACATACTGCCTTGAATGAGTCCAGCCAGCAAAGTTAGAAAAATAGGAATTTGAGGAAATGGACGACATTTGTCAAGATGGATTATCAGCCAGGGCCAGGCCTTCGGTAGCAATCAAAGCACAGATGTAGAGTCAGCTTCTCTGAGCAGAGCTGGTCAGGCATGGTCCAGTCATGGCCCAAGGTCGATTCTCTGCCGACTCTGCTTACTGCTGGGCTATTGCTGTTGGAAAGGAGCCTCCAGAGCTGTTAAAAGATGGACGTTTTCCTAGTGCTGGGGAGGGAGACAGCAGTGGAAGAGAAACCAGAATGTGACGGGGCCCAGTGGTGGTACAGGATGAAGCCCTCATCTCCTGAAGCTGAAAGACAGTCAGAGGGGAGCACCAAGGCCAAGGTTTTGTTGTAAGAACAGCAGAGCTGGGACTTCCCTGGCAGTTCAGTGGATAAGACTTCACCTGCCAATGCAGAAGGTGTGGGTTCGATCCCTGGTCAGGGAGTTTAGATTCCACATGCCTTGCTGCCAAAAAAAAACAAAAAACCAAAGCATAAAAGAGAAGCAATCTTGTAACATGCAATAAAGCCTTTGAAAGTGAGAACTTTCTTTAAAAGTAGAAAACAGTGTTATGTTTTCTATCTAATTTGCCTCTCTCCCTAAAATAACAAATAGTAATACATTTTGTAAGAAATTGTAACAGATTAGCATGCATGCATGCTAAATTGCTTCAGTCCTGTCCAACTCTTTGTGATCCCATGGACTGTAGCCCGCCTGGCTCCTCTATCCAAGGGATTCTCCAGGCAAGAACACTGGAGTGGGTTGCTACGCACTCCTCCAGGGTATATTCCCGACCCAGGGATCGAACTCAGGTCTCCTGAGGCTCCTCCATGGCAAGTGGATTTTTTACCGCTGAGCACTGGGGAAGCCCATAGCAGGTCAGAACAAATAACAAATGCCTTTGGTATTGCGCCCTTTAGAAGTCAGAGAATAAAATTTATGGAAAAAAGTTTTGGAGTACTCTGAAGCAAAATTCCACAAAATAATAGTAGAAAACTGTTTCTTTCTTTTAAAATATGATCCTGAGTCGCTGAAGGTACATTCTTTATCTCAAAGCCATAAACAACCTCTTGGTCCTTTCAGAACCAGAAGCCAGTATACAGAAGAAAATCGCTAACAATTAACGTACATATACAAATTTAAAGCTCTTTGAAATATTTCAAGCTGTGAAAATATTGATAATGAACAGCATTGAATCAAGCCTTAGCCTGCCTGAGATTGGCTCTAATGTCAAAAATTTTTCAATCTCTTTGACATAGAAGAGCTTTATAGAGGAAACCAAAAAAAATATATACATATTAATTTGTTGTTTAGTGATATCCAACTCTTGCACAACTCTAATTTTATTCAATCAAAGTGTCATATGTAAATATAGTATTTAGCTAAAAATTAAATTTTCCTTATATTCTGTCTTGAAATTTGGGGGAGGTCAGGATTAAAAAGTCTTCTCCTAACTGCCAGATAAAACTGAAGCAACTTAATCCTTGTCCCTGACAAATTTAATCTATTTGAAAAATAATTGTAGTTCTAAGAAACTTTGTCCTCTGTTTTTGGCAGACTGTCCATTTTACCATCTCAGTAAAATCCTTTCTAAAGAGCCACTCCAGGCGCATGTGTGAAGTCTCTAAACAACATCAAGAAAAATTAATTAACTGCATACATTTTTATGTGTAAATATTAAAAATATTTCAAGTAGGGAAATTCTGAGTACTCTGAAACTAAAACAAGCCTCTTGGCCATGATTAACTCAGGATATTTTTTGTTCTTATAGATTTTTTTTTTTAATATTAACAGAGAGCTGAGAAAACTTGAAAATGCCTTTATTTAGCTGGAGAAGACTCTTGGGAGTCCCTTGGACAGGAGGAGATCAAACCAGTCAATCCTAAAGGAAATCAATCCTAGATATTCATTGGAAGGACTGGTGCTGAAGCTGAAGCTCCAATACTTTCGCTACCTGATGCCGTTTCATTGGAAAAGAGCCTGATGCTGGGAAATATTGAGGTTAAGAGAAGAAGGGGATGGCAGAGGATGAGATGGTTGGATGGTATCACCAAGTCAACTGACATGAGTTTGAGCAAAGTCCAGGAGATACTGGAGGACAGGGAACCCTGGCATACTGCAGTCCCTGGGGTCACAAAGGGTCAGACACTACTTAGCAACTGAACAGCAACAACATGATATAAAACAGTCCCAACTGAAATTCTAGGTTAAAGAGAATATATACTGCCTGAGATGAAAAATACACAGAATGAGATGAACAGTAGATCAGACACCATGGAAGAAAAGACTTAGAAACAAAAACTACCCAAAACGATGAAACTGTGTAGCTGTGAACTGTGGACCAACATCAGGCATTCTAATACATGTGTAATTCCAGCCCCTGTAGAAGACAGCACAGAAAGAAATATTTGAAAAAATAATGTCTCAAAATTTTCCTAATTTCATGAAAACTGTAAACCCACAGATCCCAAACCTCAATGAAACTCCACAAAAGCAATGTGGTGAAAATCAGACCAACACATCTGATAATCAAATGGCCGGTAATTTTATAGAAAAAAAAAAAACTTCTTCAGGTTTTTAAAAATTAAATTTCTGTTACAACCATGCTGCATTGGCACTAACATCTCTACCTAAAGACCTTAGAGATTTTGTATATGTGAAATCAGTTCAGTCACTCAGTCATGTCTGAATCTTTGTGAACCCAAGAACTGCAGTAGGCCAGGCTTCCCTGTCCATTAGCTACTCCCGGAGATTACTCAAACTCATGTCCATTGAGTCGGTGATGCCATCCAACCATCTCCCCCTCTGTTGTCCCCTTCTCCTCCCACCTTCAATCTTCCCCAGCATCAAGGTCTTTTCAAATGAGTCAACTCTTTGCATCAGGTGGCCAAAGTACTGGAGTTTCAGCTTCAGCATCAGACCTTCTAATGAATATTCAGGACTAATTCCCTTTAGGATGGACTGGTTGGATCTCCTTGCTGTCCAAGAGATACTCAAGAGTCTTCCCCAACACCATAGTTCAAAAGCATCAATTCTTCAGTGCTCAGCTTTCTTTATGGTCCAACTCTCATATCCATACATGACTACTGGATAAACCATAGCTTTGACTAGACCAGCCTTTGTTGGCAAAGTAATGTCTCTGCTTTTTTAATATGTTGTCTAGGCTGGTCATAGCTTTTCTTCTGAGTAGCAAGTATCTTTTAATTTCATGACTGCAGTAACCATCTGCAGTGATTTTGGAGTCCAGAGAAGTAAAATCTGTCACTGTTTCCATTGTTTCCCCATCTATTTGCCATGAAATGATGGGGCCAGATGCCATGATCTTAGTTTTTTGAATATTGAGCTTTAAGCCAGCTTTTTCACTCTCCTCTTTCACTCTCATCAAGAGGCTCTTTAGTTCCTCTTAACTTTCTGCAATAAGGGTATTGTCATCTGCATATCTGAGGTTATTGGTATTTCTCCCTGCAATCTTGATTCCAGCTTATGCTTCATCCAGCCCAGCATTTCACATGATGTACCCTGCATATAAGTTAAATAAGCAGGGTAACAATATACAGCCTTGACGTTCATCTGTTAATATCCCTTTATATAAAAACTACTAATTTATAAATTTGGGAGTGTGAGAGGCTGAAAAAGAAATATGAACTAGATTATCATCAATTTACCATCAACCTATTAATTTGGGCCATTTTTATGAAAGTAAGTATTATGGAAATCCTGTAACTTCAAAACCCTCTCTTACTGAAGGGTTCAGAGCCTTGGCGCCAGGCCTACACAAGTCTGCGTCTGAATCTACCACTGTTTTGCTGGTGGGTTTTTGTGGGTTTGGATTTGGGTTTTGCTCATGGTTTGTTGACTTTAAAGAAAAAAGAAAAAAAAAAACCAGAGGAGCAATGTGGATGTTTATTTTACACAAATAATATCAGAAAGAAAAATTGAGAGTGACTGGTGAATTTAGAGGGAAAAAAAATCCAAGGGATAAAGAGACAGGAATTTACAAGGGAATGTTGCAAAGTGAGGTCCGCCCAGATACTAGCGGATGATTTTGGATGATACCATTTACTCATAAATCTGCATGACTATTTCTGACCTTGTGTGGTTAAACAGGAAAAGGGACAGAATGCACTAATATGAAATGCATAATTCAATGCATCCTGTATGGCAAGTCCTTTTTATATATTATCATGTGAAATCCTTATTTACAAACATGTCATGGATGAGTTAATGAGTTATTAGTTAACAATCTTGTTGTTACATAATAAAGACTGAGGTTTTCAGAAGTAACCATATAGACCAAGATGTAAGCCACTCAGTGTAGGAAATAACATCAAATATAAGACACAAAGTGAGGACTATCTTCCCAGTCGAGCCTGGCTCACCTCCATCCCTCAGGATGCATCCCTGAAGGTCACGAGCCTTTGGAGAGTCTCCCTGATAAGCATATATTGTTGGCTCCTCCCCATCACCCTCGGAATTTTTTTCAGAATTCTCCATGATTTGAAAATATTTCTGTATATGTTCACTAGCTTATTGTCTAAATTAAGCCTGCTGAGGAAAGAGCGCTTTCTTCATCAGGCGCCACTGTGTGGGGGTACTGCTCCTGCTACCACGACAGCAGCAGTAATACTGCAACACTAGACTGCACATAAGGACTGCGGTACTTACACAGTCCAGAAAAAAGATGAAAGATGGAGCATGAAGTGGAGTAGGTCCATTTTTGTCAGTTTGATGAAAACAGTGATAAAATAAGTCATAATACATTCACTGTGATAAGAAGAGCAAGCTGTTGTAAATTTAAAACAATTTCAGTTACCAGTCAAGCCCGCGCCTTAGCAGGTTTTCCATTAGAAACAGACCATTTCAGTAGAAATCGCCCCTTGCATTACAAGTAGCCGTTTTCTGAACTTGTCCACGAAACAGAAACAGACTCAGATACAGATAACAGACTTGAGATTGCCAAGGGGGATGCGGGGAATAGGGGTGATGAATTGGGAGTTCAGGATTAGCAGATGCAAACTAGTATACACAGGATGGGTAAAACACAAGGACCTATAACACGGCACAGAGAACTATATTCAACATCCTGTGATAAACTGTAATGAAGAAGAATATGAAAAAGAATATGTATGTATAACTGAGTCACTTTGTGGTACAGCAGAAATTATGCAACATTGTAAATCAACTATAGGACTTCCCTGGTGGCTCAGTGGAAAAAGAATTTGCCTGTTAAGGCAGGAGACATGGGTTAGATCCCTGGGTCGGGAAGATCCTCTGGAGAAGGAAATGGCAACCCCCTCCAGGATTCTTGCCTGGGAAATCCCACAGACAGAGTAGCCTGGCAGGCTACAGTTCATGGTGTCACAAAAGAGTCGGACATGACTTAGCAGCTAAACAACAACAAAAAACCATCAACCATACTTGAATTTTTTTATAAAGAAGAAGCCATTTACAATATAGGAAACTGTTTCTCATCCAAGGAAACCTTATTGGCTAAGCAGTGCTGCATAAGAGATGTAACTAAATAAACCTCCGCTTCATGTTTTCTAAGAAGTCTGTGCAGTGTTTTGAAAGTAATTAAAATTCTTGTGGCTTTTGGATATTTGATATCATCACGCCAGCGCTTTCACCCTTATTTGCCTAATTCTCCCATTCGATCATCATTCTGGTCGCCAACTGCCTCACTGTTTCATTTGATGAAGTACAGAGCTCTGTGAGTATTTAACATAAAACATATGGAATGCACATGCCCAGAGCAATTAAATCAATGGGAAATTCAGAATGCACTCCACTCCCTACACCTCAGAGCTCCAAAAATGTAAATTAGTCACACCCATCTAAGACAAGGAGTGCTTGGAGTGGGACTTTTTTTAGAAAAACAATCACAGAAGGGTTCCTTTAAAGTAACACAGTTGTACAAAGAAAATGAACAACAGTGTAAATAGCTTTTTCCTGTCTAAAGCTCAATAAATTAGGAGTATTAACTCTAGTTTTCCAAAAAAGATGGAATCTGCTCAATAAATTCCTTCTGCAATTCCAAAAGCCATTCCTGCCTCTGTACTTTAACTGATAGCTTCTTAACCCAAAATAATTTTTTCCCTGAACATCTAACTTACTTACTTCAGATAACATGGAACAGTGAAGAAAATACTGTGATTTTTTTTTTTAAATCACCCACACCTGGTTTGGAATCTTTGCTCTCTTGCAAACTTAGGGTGAGTTTCACTTTATAGGCTTTTTAATGAGATTAAAGTAAATGAAAGACCTCCCGGGAATGTGGGATCTTTTCAAGACCCAGGATGGCCATTTATTATACTCTGGGTTACTCTGTTAACATTCTACAGGTCTATTCCCATCCCACCTGGAATCTCAGCTCAAGCCATCTGAGACGTTCCCTTCCCTGGTCATCTGCCACCTCCATCCTTAAACGGAACACCTAGGGAAGGAGTGTCTCCTTGTCCCCCCCCTCCCAAACCAAGTTAACCCCTCCAGCAAAGAAGCTGAGCATCCTCACTACCTGCCTTTCCCAGTCCTGGACTAACATCCTAGATCCATGATCTGGAGGGAGGCGGGGATGGGGGGCATGGTGGCAGCCCCTTGGCTAAGATGCCAGGCTCCCATGGCTCTTATCAAGGTTCAGTTGTTCTTCTTGAATAAAGTTTCTCAATTTTTGTATGCCTTTGGTCATTTTCTAGAGTCCTGCAATTCTTCTCCATTTTATCGTTGTTTTTGTGGGAAAAAATCTGCCCTGCTCTTCACAACAACACCCTGGAGGTTCACTGTACACTTTTGTAGCTTTCAGCCCCGGAGATTTGGGAATTTGCTACTCAACCCTCTCTCCTCTCCTCCCTCCCTTCCTCTCATTCAAGTAAGTCACAAATATTGAAAACATTCAAAGCTTAATTCCCATTTCTAGTTTCACCAACAAGAGCTTGGAGTTTGTCACCCCATTTCGCCCCAACAGAAAAAAAGATGAACACACTTAAAATCAATGAATCTCGGTAGATGCCTCATAATAATGAGGTCAAAGGGCAAACCCCCACCAACATCTGGAGAGACAAACAAATACAAAAAAAAAAAAAAAAACCCACAGCCAAGGTCCAATTACTTAAAGCAGAAGATTCTGAACCAATAGGTGGCACAGAGCAATGATGACTTTGTAGTCTTTGCACTACAGGCTTTAATAAAAGTCAGTCACAGCATCTTCCTAGTAAACCATTCATCTTCTCTATATACAATTAACCTCATTAACCCTGATCAATTTTTGCCTTAAATTAATTTCTCTTTATATGTTGTTATTTCCAGGATCAAGGGGAGTGACCTAGGAAGATGGTACTGCTAGCAGATGAGTCATGATCCAATTTATTTTCCTCTCGTGGACGGCCCTGTGAAAATAGCTATCAGCCTCCTGGGTGAGGAAGGAATTCTGTGGGATGAGAAACGAAGGGTCACTCCTCTGAGGACTTGATGTGGTTCCCGGCCCGGGTCTGGCTGGTGAGCTCTGCTCTCGGTTAGTCTCCGGGGTGTGGCTCGGCGTGCGCAGCCTCCGTGAAGTGACCTTGGAGGCAGCCGGTAGTTCGCGGTCCCTGATGCCTTCCCTTCTCTCCTTCTCACCTGTGTTAGCTTCAGCATCGGGAGACTTTTGTGCACGATGAGTTCCCAACATCATCTGTCCCTGGAGGTGGCCTTAAACCTTGCCCTGCTCCCCTGCGGTGGCTTTGGGAAGGAAAGCTGCTCCTCTGATGGTACTTCTATTTTTAAGGCAGACAGAGTTCGCTGAGATCCGCCGCCACAGGGCTCCCACGAGACTTGGAAAGCCCTGATGTTTGTATCTATTTGAGTGGAATTAGAATGAAAATATAATTGGATGGTGAGCAAAATAGGCCTTGATCATGGGATTGATGGGAATGAGTAAAAGCTGCTATGAAATCCTATTATAACCACATCTTGGTTCTCACTCTTAAATGATAGGCTAAGGGGCTGAGTGCGGGTTTCCCAGGTGGCACTGGTGGTAAAGAACCTGCCTGTCAATGCAGGAGATGCAAGAGACATGGGTTAGATCCTGGGGTCGGGAATATCTGCTGGAGAAGGGAATGGCAGTCCACTCCAGTATTCTTGCCTGGAGAATCCCATGGACAGAGGAGCCTGGCAGGCTATAGTCCATGGGGTCACAAAGAGTTGGATATGACTGAGCAACTTAGCACGCAGGAGGCTGCACCAAGGCCAGCAGTGCCCCCTCCTATTTGTGAGGCACCTTGGTCTACTTTACTTGTCAGATAATACAGTGGAATGTGGTTATGGCACTTGCCTTCCCATTTTTCCTTTAGTTTCATAATTTTTAGATTTTGTTTCATTTTTTCCAAGACGTCTAGGTACATCCTTCGCCTATTCTAATTTTTTTTTAGAAACCCTCTTCATCTTTGTATTAATATTTACATGTGAATCTTATGTTAATACTTACATGCTAATTTTTCAAACTATTAATATTTTCTCTTTTGGGGGGTTTTCTTTCAGTTTCTATAAAGTTTTTTTGACATAGAGAAGTTTTATTCTCTTGGAAGTAAATTTATTTACCCTTTTCTAATGATATCTGGATTTTCTGACTTTCTTGGAAAAATTTTCATCACCACAATCATCTACTACTGACACACACATGTGTACATGATCATAAATACTAAATAACTGTATTTGCTAGTAAAATCTTTTCAATTTTTAAATATACAAATTTTCTACATTTGGAATTCATTTTTACACTAGAGTGAGGTAAGAATAGTACTGTAAATTTTTCTGTGTTCCTTGCTCACATTTATTTACTCTTATTATCTTACTAGATTTATTCCTAACTATGAACCATTTTATAATTCTCAGAATACTTAATTTTTATATTTTTAATTATTTGTTAAAAACTCGCAAGGCTTTGTTAAAATTGTAAGAATAGCACCATAAATTTCTCTGTGTTCCTTGCCCACATTTATTTACTCTTAATCTCTTACTAGATTTGTTCTCCCTTCCCTTGTATGCTTTTGGGCTTCCCTTGCAATTCAGCTGGTAAAGAATCTGCCTGCAATGTGGGAGACCTGGGTTCAATCCCTGGGTTGGGAAGATCCCCTGGAGAAGGGAAAGGCTACCCAGTATTCTGGCCTGGAGAATTTCATGGACTGTATGGTTCATGGGGTTGCAAAGAGTCAGACACGACTGAGTGACTTGCACTTACTCACTCCCTTGTATGTTTATATGTGCTGAAATATCTGGTAGAAAATTGTAGATGTGTTAACCTGTTCTGCTAAATCTGATAGTGTGTAGGTACTAAAAACTAGAACATTCTCCTATACGACCACAGACACAAGGATCAAATCTAGGAGACTGGCAGCACGGACACTATCCTATTATCTAACTTATGGTCTATATTCCAATGTTGCCAGTCATCCCCATCATGTTCTTTACATATTTTATTGTTCTGATCCAGGATCCAATCAGGCATTAAATTTAGTTATCTTGTCTATTTAGCATTTTTAATGTGGAAACTCTCCTCAGAATTTATTTTTCTTTCATGACACTGAAGTCTTGAACAGCACAGGACAGGAGCTTTATAGACTGTCTCTCAAACTGAGTTTTTCCTGTGTCCTAAATCTTAGTTTCAGCTTCTATATTTGGGGCAGGAATTCACAGAAATGATGTGTCTTCAGTCATCACAACAGACACCTGGTGTCAGTCAGTCTGTCTGTGGTCAGTCATGTGAGTTTGGATAACATACCTGCCAGATAACATGACCATTTTTCCCTCTGTTGTTGTTGTTGTTCAGCCACTCAATAGTGTCCAACTATTCACGACTCCATGGATTGCAGCCAGGCTTCCCTATCCTCTACCATCTCCCGGAGTTTGCTCAAACTCATGTCCGCTGAGTCGGTGATGCCATCCAACCATCTCATCCTCTGTTGCCCTCTTCTCCTCCTGCGTTAAATCTTTCCCAACATCAGGGTCTTTTCCAATGTGTTGGCTCTTCAAATAAGGTGACGAAATTATTGGAGCTTCAGTCAGGATCAGTTCTTCCAATGAATATTCGTAATTTTTCCTTTGCAATTAGTAAGTAATCTGTGGAGGCAGACAGATATCCAGGACTGGTAATAGCTTTTTCCTCATCTATATCTCACCCACAAGTTTTAGAATCCCTTAATGATTTTTTGTCTGAATCAAATACTTCTATGCTGGCAGCAACATGGTCCTTCAAACTCTCCCATTTCTGTTTGTATTTATTGGTTGTCATTTTACTACAGGGAAGAGCTGTTCTTCTCCCCAAGTCACTCCATTTCTCCCTCCCCTCCTTCCTCCTTCCCTTGCTTCCATTCTTCCTCCCAGTCTATGGACACCTGGATTCCTTTTCCACCAATGGGCCATAGTCCGTTACTATCTTTATTATGTATTCTTTCATTGTTCTGCCAGATTCTGCTTCTTAATATTTTATTTATTTGTCATCGATATTTATAAGTGATACTGATCTATAGTTTTTATATTCTGTGCTACCTTCATCTGGTTTGGGTATAGCTTTTATACAGGTGTTCTAAGAGTAATCAAAACACTTTAGAACAGTTGAAAAGAAATGAAAACTTATGTTTCTTTTAAGCTCGGAAGAATTTCCTCTTCATTTTTTAAAGATGTAGATCTTTTAGACATCTCTCCCCCTTCCACCCTCCCTCTCTCCCTCTCTGTCTCTGTCTCCCTCTCTCTCATCAGTTTTGTGTTATTTGTACTTTCATTTTATCCTATATTTGATCTTGTTTAGGACAGATTTCTGTCAAGGACTCATAATGATTTCAAATTTGTCTAAACTAGTTATTTTCCTATTCTTATTTCTATTTTGTCATTCTTACACTCTTTCCTTACCAATTCCCTGATTGATTGATTTATTGGGCTTTATCTAATTAATGTTTATTTATCTGTTGAAGGAATAACCCTTTATATGGATATCAGTTCTTTTATTTTTCCTTTTTCTGACTTATTTTCACAACTTTAATAATTTTCCCTCCTGCTTTTCCTAGGTTTGCTTTCTCTTACTTTTTAACAACCTAAGTTTTATGATAAATTCTGCTTTCCCCTGAGTGCAGGTTTGGCAATAAGTTGTGGATTTTTATTTGGAGTTTTCCCATTATTGTTATTTTCTAAATGTTCTGCAATTTCAGGCTTGACTTCTTCTTTGATCCTAAACTTACTTTCCAGATGTTTGTATAATATTAAAATGGAAGGGGTTTTATTACATTGTTTTCACGGTTGGCACTTACTCATAATATCATTGCATAGCCAGAAATACACAATGTTTACTCTGTCTATTCACAATTTTATTTCTTTGTAACATAATACTTTGCTAGCTTTTATAAATGTTTCATGAACGTTTGAAGTGAACATTCAGTGTCAGTATATAAGGTATACATTCAGCATATATTAGATTTATTTGGTCAACCTTATTTTTACACTCAAATATTCTATGTATGTACTGATTAGATACTTCCTCATCAAGGACTGAGAAAAGGCTGTTAAATTGTCCCACTTGTGTGAGGTTTTTTTTTTTTAGGTGTAACTTTTTTTTTAGTAAGTGAAAGAAACTGGGTTCTAGAAGCTGAAGTTGTGTACGAAGCAAGTCTGTGCATCAGATGCAGTCCAGCCCAGGGCAGCCTCGCCCACATGCTGGCTGGTCCTCAGTGTAATTACCCCTGTTGGCTGCTCCCACTTGCTTATAAGAACCTCATCATACTATGATGAAAGTCTAGTAAAAATACCTGCCTATTCTGTGTTCCGTAATGTCACACGCAGAGTGAACATGCTGAAGAAAAATGAAAGTTGGGTCATTTCTGCTTTAGGTCATGACAGCATCTAAGAAAGGTTTCAGCTTAGGCTGTAATTTATGACTCATACTTGCAGAGATTTTAGAAATCACTCACAGCCAAAAATCAAAGTTATTCAATCTAGTTTTCCCCCTTTGAACTTATAAAGGCAAATATAAACAGTTAGAAAGAGAGACAGACAGAACAATGAAAAAAATAAAATATTTTCTTCTGTCAGAAGGTAAATACTATGACATTCAGGCTGCCCTCTCCCAGTCCCCCTTTTTCTGAGGAGATTTTTGCTGAACACAGAGGGCTCTTTATTCTTTTTTAACTTGTGACAGGAAGAATAACTTGGTTGACTGTTCGACCTTTACCAGTTGGGTAACTTTATTTGGTAGGAAAACACAAGCCCTGCATTTGAGAGTGAGGGGCAGAGAGCAAGGGGTGAGGAACACCCTTCAGGGAAGGCCTCAACATCAGGCTTATCACCTATCTCTAAGTCCCCCACACTTTTCTCCAGAGGCTCCCTCTTCCTGACACCACAGAGCACATGTGAGGGCTCAGAGAAACTTGGGGAAGGTTCCTGACTGCCGCTCCACCGGATGTGGCTGGCCCACTACTCCGGTCATATATGTGGGAGAGGGACTGTCATCAGAAAGGGAGGGATACTCGGCAAGGCGGGATTCAGGAGTCAAAGGAGCCATGCCTCTGGTCCAGAGAACAGGAGAATTTAACTGATGGGGTGGGAGCAGGGGTGGGGGTCGGGTCAGGTAGGAGAGTGAGCGCTTTTGGTTTATGGTCCTCTTAAACAGA